ATTATATAATATATTAAATTAAAATATATATGAATTAATGTCTTTAAACAAATCATATCAAAAACAAACTTGACTTGCAGAATATCATCACACGAGCTTAAAGAATTTGATGTTGAAAAACGAAGTCAAATTTGAATCCTCTTTTTATACTTTTAATTAATACTAGAAATTCTATCAAGAATTCTTAGAAAAAATTATCAACCCCCTCATAGGCAATTTGCAGTTAGATCAATGGCTGGAAATTCAGCTTACAGCTAACGCAAAATTGGTGCTCCTCCGATTTGATTCACGGCGGTGCTGGGTTTCGGGAGTCGCGCCGGTGGGTCACGCGTGAGAGGCGTGCTAGGCTGGAGAACGATCGGCTCACGTGCTCCGCATTCAGACATGAGGCTAAAAATTTTAAGTTTATTAAAACAAAAGTTAAAACCTCATTTTGATCTCTGAATTATTGCATGTACTTCTGATTTGGTTCCTACTGTTTACCATTTTTATTTCAATTTGATCCTTCTGTTAAATATCTACCCACATGTTCGTTGACTAACAGAAACCTAATGTACATGTCAAAATATTATGTCCACATGGAAAGCCAATTAGCAAAAAAATAATGATTTGGCAATAAAAATTTTAAAAATTCTTTCTCCTTCATCTTTCCCTTTCCCTTTCCTCTTCCTTTGGTCGCCTTCTTCATCAATCAATTCTGCATTTTCATCAATTAGTTCATCATCATTGAACAACACCACAAAAACACATAAATTTTTTTTTTAATTTTTTGTCGATGAACCCAACGCCAAGTTCGAATTCTTCATCATCAATCAGTTCATCATTATCATCAAATAACACCCTCATCAAACAACACAAACAAACACGTAAAATTTTTTTTTTTTGTTGAAGAACCCAGCGCCTGGGTTCAACGAACTCGGTGCTGGGTTCATCAGGTTCCAAGGAACCCCGAGCCTGGGTTCGATGAACCCAACGTTGGGTTCCAAAGAACTCAGGGCCTAGGTTTGTTCGAACCCAAAGCCGGGTTCTAAGGAACCTAGGCTCTGGGTTCGTCCGAACCCAGGCCCTAGGTTCCTTGGAACCCCGAACCTAGGTTCGTCTGAACCCAGAGTCGGGTTCCTTGAAACCTTGAGCTTGGGTTCGATGAACCCAGCGTCGGGTTCCAAGGAACCCAAGCGTTGGGTTCGATCAAACCTCTGGGTTCCAAATGCTAAGGGGAAAGAAAAAGGAAGGAGAAGAAAAACAAGAAAGAGAAAGAACTTTTTAAGTTTTTGTTATATTATTATTTGTTTCCATGTCATTATTTTTTGCCATGTTGTCTTCCACGTAGGATAATCTTTTGATATGTCATCATTTTACTATAAATTAACGATACACGTCATGCAATTTTTAACAAAAGGACCAATTCGGGGTAAAAAGGATAAACAATAAGGACCAAATCAAGGGTTTTTTGAGTTCAGGGACCAAATCGGAGGTCTATATAATAATTTAGGGACCAAAATGGAGTTTTAACCTAAGATAAAAGAATTAAATGTATATTTTAGGTTAGATATGAATATTCTTAGTCTATCATATTTTAGGTACCTGAAATATTCTTTTGTATAATGACTCATTTTACATTAAAATTTTCAAGAAAGAGGCTTTCTTTACGGTGTCTAGGAGAACTGCTCAAAATTTAATTT